GGTTTTAAAAGATGTTTGGATAACTGTACTTGGGTATTATCAATTTCCTTTATAGTCTATGTATTTTATCTGAGGATTGAAAAATATTATTCTGAGAAAGGGTCCATGGGCTTCACCAGTCCTTGGCATGCGAAAGGCTGTCTGTCCCTGGCTTTGAGCACACAGAGGGCACGGAGCCCGGCTGCATGGGGTGTCCTGCTGAGATCAGTACAAGCTGTCCCCAGCATCCTGGTCACACAGGGCTTTTGTGCACTGGTACTTGGAGTAGGAGTGGGAATGGGGGGCAGACAGAGTGACAGTGGGGGCCCCAGCATGGACATTTGTGCAGGCTCTGGCGACCCTGGCCTTCTCCATACAGGCCTGTAGGGAGGTGGGGGAAGCTTGTGTAACCGACATGGTCGCCTGGATATTTTGGAATAAAGACTCTGGATTTGGGGAGGTATTGGCAGTGCCTGGGAACTTGAGACCAAACAGACTCAGAACTTGTACATGCGCAGTCCACAGACAGCCTCGTGCAGGACAGGACAGAACGCGTGGCCGGGGTACCGGAGGCTGCCCTGGGGAAGGCAAAGAGAGTTTGGTCTGGGGTCATTTGCAGAGTCTTCAGGTGCCTTTGGTTGAGCCACATGCAGGGGATGGCAGGGTGACAGAGCTGAGGTGGGAATGAGGAGGTGCTGTCACAGCACAACTCCAGGGAACATCCCGAGTTATTTCAGCTCTAGGGGAGAACAGTTTTGAAGCTAGAAGACACTTGAATGGAGACTCCATTCTTGCTCTCCCTGATGTGCTATCAGTCACTGCCTCACTGGTCATGACCTGGCTGCGTGGGACTCGCCCAGACACGAGCCTCAGGCGGTGCACGTTGTGGGAACGAGTCCTCTGAGCCTTGGCTGTGGCCACAGCTTGTCCCAGGGTGAGGCAGATCTCTGCCTCTCTCTGTCTCCCTCTTTCTGTCTCTGTCTATCTCTCTCTCTGTCCTTCCAATTTTTTAGCCTTTGCAGCTTGAATTTAGGTGTCTTGCAGTGGTTTTTGGCTTTTTTCCACTCAAATCAAAAATGGAAAAATGGGGGAAAAAGGAAGAAAAAACTTGTGAGATTTGTGCATAGACTACAAGAACCAAGGGCGGAGCATTTGAAGTTCTCGGCTCCACCAGACAAGATTCCCGAGCAACTGCTTAGGAACACTGGTGGCACCCTTTTTGGAAAGGTCTTCCTTAGCAGTCCTTGACTGGTTCATTAACTTTTCTGACTCCTTTTAATTTTGTTACTCTTAATTACCTTTCCTCATTCTGAACCTTTAAAAATAGGATTTAGACTGAAGCAAGCAGTCAATCAACACTCGTATAAGTGCTTTCTTTGCAGAAGGGCTGAGTGAGCAGGTTTGAAGCTTGCAGCGATGTTTGTAGCTTTGGCCAGACCCTTGTTGAACTGCTCTAGGGCTCTCTCCAGAGACCACAAGCCACCCTGGGGACCCAAGTGCTGGACTGTGGGGTCTCCCACCACAGAGGGGCTGGGATTGCCTCATCTCAGACACCGGGACGTTGTGGGCAGGAGGCCTATGGAGCAGGAGGAAGCTCGATACTTCCAAACTTGTCAACTCTTGCAGTGTTTGAATAGGGTGGGCTCCTGTGTGAGGCTGCCTGAGAAGAGCATATTTACTTTTGCCTGCGGAACAGAGGAGAATAAGACGAGAATTTGTTCTGAAAGCTCATGGACATAACCTCACCCTGAACTCATCCCCTTGAAGGGCCAGCTCAGTCAGGGAATGTTCTGTACCTGCTTGCTGAGCTAGCTGGTACGCCGTCATGGGGTAGGGCATGAGGAACGCGGAGCCCGTGGGACATCTGGGGCATCAGAGGCCAGGAGGGAGACAAGCAGGAGGGGAGATAGTGGGGGCCCACCCACTCAAGAAGGGTGTTGTGCCCAAGGCTCTCCCAACGCACACCGACTTATAGAGATCTCGACAGTCGGGCTACACAAAGGACATCTGCCTTCCTTGCCCTCTGTCAACTCAAGGGAAGTTTTTATTTGCCAGTTGTTTGGTTTTGTGGGGGCCACTTGGTGTGGTGGGAGGAGCACTGGTTTGGAGCCAGGAGACCCAGGACTGGTCCTCACTGGCTCCAGGGACGGTGCAGCAGCTTCTCTTTTCTGCTTCCCTTGAGGAATGAAGGGCTGGGGCCGAGGGTCCCCCGGTCGGTCCCTCTGCCCCTGGCCATCCCTGCCCCCAGCCATCCCTGCCCCAGCTCTCTGTGGTGGAAAGCAATGACCTTCTCTCCTGCTAGGGTTTCTTCCTCTTCAGATATGTCTGCTCTGTCTTAGTTCATTTTCTGTTGCT